GCTAGCATACAGAGCATCATATTAAACTTTGCGTCAATTTAAGGCGGAGCCGTACTTCAACAGTGGCGAAGCAAATGAGGTGAGTGACACTGCCTCAGTCGTAACCTCTCTCAACCATTATGTTTTAGAACGGTCGACTGGCTCATTGGAACGATATTTATTAGGTAAATAAAATAAGATATTGATAAAAGTATATGATATTCAAACATGGCACTACCACTTCAGTTAATCGCTTGTTTAAGTTTCTTAAAGCTCGGTGACATGTTGTACATCAGAAAAGCTATTTTTATTAGAAAATTTGAAAACAGTGATGTTGTAAAAACAAAAACAAGAAATACACAAAAACAAGTCTAAAATTTTCTCCATAATGCATATCTACTTGACGCTTCTTGCGACGTTGATTGATTGACGTTTACGAGGAAAACGTTCATAATAATAATTATAGATATTGAAAAGAAATGTGTAATAATCGATATGATCATGACAAAACAATGCAAAGTTTATGTGATCATAGCCATTTGGACACTGCAAAAAGCTCAAACAAATTTAAATCATTTTTTTTACCGGTTTGCTTCACAATTCAAATTAAAAGACAAGTACCACAAAAAGGGCGGTTAACATTTGTTGTATTGTGATGATCGATTTTAATCGAACAACGATCGGCATTAAATCAGTCACAATAATCCAACTCAATGCAATACAAACCAGATTATATGATACTTTGCATACACATCATTTTCTGTTATGATTGTGCAATAATGCTTTTTATGTTTTAAAGATGTCCGACATATATGGATTGTTACAGGTGAATCGTGATCATTAGATTTATGTCCTGCGTGTTATGTCAGCGACCTGTTTCGATAACATAATAAACAAAATAGAAATAAAAACACCATAAAATAAGTAAAGTAATACAAAGTTGAGTTTCATCAGCTATTCACTAAATTATTTTTTTAATATAAATAATTTATTGAATTGATGATTGATATATGAATTTCATCAGTTATTCATTAATATATTTTAATTGATTTTACAATAAATAATTAATTGAATTGATGATTGATCTAAAACATTATCCAATTTTCTATGATCAGTGATGAATATATCCTGATTATGAAACACTATTTATGCTCTACATAAAGCAAGGTCACACAACCCTAGTGTATTTCATATATCTCACAATTAGAAAATAGTTCACTAAATACTCAATGAGTTGTGTATTTACAAATGTTTAGATTTAAATATTCTAAACAACTGTAAAGTTACTGTAAGCAACATCATTTTTGATACATATGACAATAATAAACATCGGGCGTAATTGAGTGCAAAATTGAATATTTCAACTTTTTATGATTAAAAAAAATGTTGTTTTTTTTTTTAAATAATTTTTTAACTTTTTCTTAAAGTCCTGTTAGGATTTTGTTAACCTTTTCAATTTCATAATAGTATTCTAAATCATAGTGATAATGTCTTTCAAAAAGTTTTACCAATCAAACACAAAACCAATTTTAGCCTCATGAAGTTCGCTCAAAGTTAGAAGAAACACATATTTTTAAACTTGAACTATTAAAACCAGACTGGAAGCATTATTTGTAAATAAGGATGCATATGCGATTATGATGTAATTTAACGAGTAATTGAAAACAACAAGCATACGTAGTACAGTTAAGATTAAACAATGCCGTTACATATTCAAAGGTACAAATTTGCCTTATAATGTTGAGCCATTATAGTTCTATTATTTCTTGCCATATCTAGTATATTGACATTACAGAATCAATGATCTATTATTGAAGACGTACTTGAATTGTGACAAAAATATTAGTTCGAACAATAGACCGTGTCTCCACACGTAATTGGAAACTAGAGATGTAAAGTAAAATATTGATATGGCAATATTTTAAAGTCCACATTACATGAGGACATTTAAAGAAGTATTGTTATATTAGTATGCTAAGTGGGAACATCGACCGGCTTGTGTCCGTAGAGAATAAAATAACAATAAAGTGTTTAATGTATATTGCAAACATAATGTAATAGAATTGATTTGAAACCACTTTAATCTTATTTAACAGTGCTACATGATGATCTCACAATTCCATACAAAAAGAAATGTGATCAAGTCTTATCAGAATCAAGTCTTATCTTGACATTAAAACGTAAGTATGTCAACCAATGACCTTTACGTATAGAAATATTTTACAATATCATTGTTTTTACCCAGCTTGCTTACGGAACGTCGGTGGTTCTATTCAGGTGCCCGTCGGTGCCTAAAATAATGCAAGGACGGGCTACTGAGGTCTTCCTCCACCAATAAAGCTAGAACGTCGCAATATGATCAATACTGTGTCGGTGTGACGTAAAATCCAATCAAACAAATAATATAATTTTATAGATCGTCTTTACATACACAAACATCTTTTTTATTTTGATGAGGTTAAAGAACCCTGCAAATAAGTGCTAAAAGGCTATCAAATCAATCAATTTGATGCTGTATTTATGTCGATATGATGACGCTCGTGTTACAAGTAAATAAACGTCGCACAAATTGTGATGCAAATTAATAATAGAGTATGCACAATAACCGTAACAAAATATTGATATTATAAACAGTAAAATATAAGGAAAATTTTACCAATGCAAAGTTGTGTAAATTAAATTTTCATGAGACTATTAAGTGTGACATAAACTGTGATCGATACAGTGCGTAAGCTTTACACGACGTATATTTAGATTCATTGAGCAGTTTGTACTATAGCTTCATCCTTATTTCTCAAATCAGCGCATATTATATGTTATTTTGGTTTTGGAGTGATATATGTGGATATATTACCTGTTAAGATTTTATATCACCCGAGCCGTTAGGCGAGGGTGATATTTTATCTTGGCAGGTAATATATCCACATATATCACTCCAAAACCAAAATAATAATTTTATTACCCTTCCCCTGCCGAGTTGAGACGATTTTTTAAATAATCATTGCTGTTTCAAATGAAACGTCGAAATAAGATTCCCTTTAGGATACCTCTTCGTCACAACATGACGTCACATAAATACATGACGTATTTTTCCCGTACCTTACAAAAGTAAACAAGAGAAAAGGAGTAGTCTATTGAACGCACTTTTTTGTAATTAATATCAAGCTTTCACAAGGTCATATTTGTTTTCGATACTGATGGTTATATGTATCATAACTCTACTTTGGTAAATATTTATCATTTGACAGTTAAAAAGTGCTTTTAAATCGGAATTTACACCGCGTAAAATCGAACCGTACGCGCATCATCTCCGCGCATGTTGTTTACAACGTTGGGTACCAAACGGGGAAATTTAGTGCGTATATTACCCGTCTGGCTCGGTTATATCAATTTCTTTCGGGTGATCAATATCCAATCAAAAAGGCGGAAAAAATCTGGAAGGGTAATAAAAAGGTATATAATAAAGGAGTACAATAAAAAATAATCCGATTATTCTATCGTCCTTATATTTTCTAATAAATCAATAGCTACCATTTTACTGAACTGAGCAACAGTAGAAACACTCTTGGCAATAAAAATATAATTGAATTATATCAAGACTAAATAAGCGGAAGTATTGATTTACTTTTAACAAAAATATCTAAAGGGTACTTTATTTTGAGGTTATTATACATTCCTCAGAACGCTGAATTCGATTGAACGAGTGACCAGCTGTCAAACTTAATTAATAGAAAATATACAAATGTTAAATAATAAATCTTCTATTATCCTTTTGATTATATTCTCCGGGTAAAATATGATAATATATATATTTTTACCAATTAATTTTTGATTTTATACTGGGTATATTTATATTTATGGGCATCAATGCTGCATTTAGGCCCTCATCCAGCAGGATGCGTTTCATTTACATTGTCACAAAATCATTCATACTTATGAAATATGCTCCAATGTTAATACAGAACTACATAAAATATTCATCATATGTCAATGACATGCAAATGAATAGTAAAATGTTCAATACTTTATATACATGTATAATGCACTCGGAAGGAAATATTAAATATTAATGCTCCCAAACAATGCTAGATGAACACATCTTTAGATGTTTCTAAATTTAAATTTCGCCATTTACATTTATAAATGTTGTAATTTGCTTAAGCCGGTGCCAGGGCATTCACATATACCACTATGAACAGGCCCAATCAAACTGAGTCTGCAACATTTTCAATTTTGCTGTTTTGGGAGCTCTATAGGAATTCCCTTTCTTTCTTTGTTATGTTTTTGTATCATTATCTAAACATAATGTTGTGACTTGGGTTTATTGTGCTGATTTGATTAGTACATGCATATATCTGTTTTCCACAAATTTTCTCTAATATTTGTACTGTATTTATACTGTATGTTTATATATACGTCATATCGTTTTGATCTAAAAGACCAAAATTTAAATCTATAAAATTCTACTTTCATCATTTCCTTATTATTCTCATCTGAACATATATATAAACATAATAAGAATATTCAGATATGAAATTATTTCTTCATTCAATTGTCTAATTAAATTTCACTAGATTTTATTATAAATATATTGTTGAGAAATATTGTAGACAATAAAACGTGCACATGTTGAATAAAATTTTATTCATTTTATCAAACTGTTAAAAAGTGTAATACGTTAATGATTTTTTTCTACGATGTTACATTGTCATGATAATAACTTTAGAGCAAAAGAATTGTATCCTTGTGCCGTATGTGACGTGATACTGTGGATTAATGTAAATATCTTGTACTTACTGTTATGACATTAATAACACCAGATTAATTTGCGTCGAGTATGAAACATCAATTCTGAATGTTTTGTCGTGCTATTGTGTGAACAATACATTAGCTTTGTCACGGGATTTACCATTTATATTACTTAAAACTAAATAATTTGGTTTCTCTTAAAACTAGGACTTCATATTTGTTGAAACAAAACCATGGAGTTAACCAGCTCATTGTATTGTATTAATGTTATAATGTGTTTAACATCTTGTGTTGGACAATTATTACATGCAGATGTACTAACAGAATTCTTTGGCGGAAATTCTAGACATAATGTAGAACATAACGAAAATCAAGTATTTAAAACTTACAGTCAACACCACAATTTCCTTCCACCTGTATTGGATGATTATATAGATATGTTTCTACATAAAAGTCATCACCGAAATGTTGCTGATTCGAAAATTCGATCATGGAAGACAATTTCAAATGTACATTCTAGAAATGAAAGGATGCTAAGTGAGAGGGATTTACATGTAGACATTAAGGGAGAGCTTAAAACACTAACAACATTTATGTTAAATAACAAATTCTCCGGGAGTGGGAGACGACCGACTTTATTAGAAAAGCCGCGACAACATCAGCTACACATAACAGACATACAACGACAAACGTTAATTAATCAGAATGCTCAATCTAAACCAAAAGTAAAAACAACAGATTTGAGCAGAGAACAGGAAGTATTGCTTTCAATTTTAAAACGTAAAGGAATAAACATAGATTTCACTGGTAAAGTAACGAGTACAGCGAGACCTTACTTGAAAGCACATAACAAATACAAAAAGCTGACAATGCAAAAGGCTGTTGAATTTTACGCTTGTTTAAAAATGTAAAACAATTATCGGAAAAGGTGTCAAAAGACGAAACTGCAACAACTAAAAAACCAACATCGCAGGGGATTATACCAGACACAACACAGTATTCAGAAAACTCATCAAAGAATAATGCAAATATAACAAAATCTACAACTCAACACAAGACGACGAGTACCTTACGACAAGCAGAAATTGATACAACGGAACAAACGACTCAAGAATTGTTAAGTACCACACCATCATTAGCAATAATAAATACCCAGCAAATTCCACATGTCTCATCTCGAAATTTAACTAAACAGACAGAGGAGGTAATACAACCCCCAATACAATTTCAAATGACTACACTATCGATGTCAACGATTCAAAATGAAATATGGAGGGTAACGTCCCAACAAACTAATACTTTTCCTTTGACATCACTGTTTCAAATAACTAAAAGTTTGGCACCACTGGCATTGTCTACATCATCATTAACAACAACAGCAACAGCAACAACAACAATAGATATGAGAGACATGAATGAAGCTTTCTGGAGTACTCCGCCACATTCCAGTAATGCAACAAAAAGCACGACTAGCATACCAACACATCAAAAGCAGATAACATTGTCAGTAACCCAAAGAACTAATGACCTTGAAATAAAAAATAATTCTAATGTACACAGTGCTTATCAAACAATTGACGATAAATCTAAATTAAATGATGTATCTGGGAATAAAGTGCTGGCTGCAAAAGATGTACATTTGTTTTTCGAAAAGCTTAAAAATTCAAATTTTTTGAATAACTTAAACAAAACTGGAAAAGACAAGAAAGCAAAGAGTAGCACTGATTGTGCAAAAGAATGTACGATTCTTCAAAACGTTTGCAAGAATGGAGGTACATGTGTGAATTCGTGCCCAGGTTTCTCGTGTATTTGTGCGGAAGGCTTTACCGGTTATTTTTGTGAAAAAATTGTCAAAGCAATATAAAGAAGAAAAATGTAAATACTGCGAATGCATCAATCAATAGGTAAAATAGAAAATAAAAAGAATATTTATCACATGTTTTTCAGTGGATAACGAACTGATGAAAACATCGAAATACAATTTCAATGCTGAGAGGGGCGATGGGGGGGGGGGGGGGGGGGGGGGGTATATCAATAAATGGAAATTTTGTCAAAAATACTCTCCGTCATTAGTCAACTGAACATAAGTTCGTGATTTCTAGTGTTTTACTGTAATATATCAGACGATAATATTCTCATAAACCACTTGTGAAATTTATACAATATATTTTTTACTCTAGCTGGACTATATCTGAATGCGGATGAAAAGAATATCATAACTAAATGGAATAACAGGCAATAATAAACGCTTTCATACGTAAATTTTGTTTCTTTTGGTAAAGAAAGTCGATGTCATCATACATGACGTTAAAATGTAACAAAATTAGAGAAATTTAATAGAACTATATCTCAAATTTGATGATGTGACGTCATGATGTGATGAGGCTACGCCGCAAAATCAGTAAAAAATACTAAAATCTTAAAATCACTTATAAAGCATGAAATAAAAAGAAAATTTATTTGTTTTACATATAACATTGAAATATATTTCATTCGTGAACACCAGCTTTTCTATTTTCACTCGTGGTCAAAATTACTAAAACGCATAAATGCATGAAATAGAATAAAAATGTTTTTATATTTTACTCGTCGTCGTCGTCGTCGTCAACACCAGTTGTTATACATTTGTATTTTAACTTGTGGTCCTGCCACTCGTGGACATATTACATCATTCTGGCAAGCCTAGTTACCGCCCAATAGGCAGTTACGCTCAGGACGGTTGACCCATTCCAAACCAAGACGTATGACAGATATTATCTTTCTTTCTAAAATGTTTTGTGTTGAGACTGATACCGCTTAAACCACATTTTGCATTTCTTTTTTCATTTTCCATTTTCTCTTATGAACAGTTTTTCGTTAAGCTTTTCTTGCATGCATTTCATTCGATCACAAATGATAATAGTAATTAAAATGTAAATATGCAGAAGAAAAGTAAAGAAATTTGATAAGAAAGTGATACAAAAGGAGTAATAATTCATCGCTACACCATATAATAGTATCTAATCTTTAAAGTACTCTTAGCTGAGATCCATTGAAACTAAATCCAAAATAGACTTATGAATAACGTTCGTTAAAATAATATGCTAAAATTTGATACTTTTGATAAATTTGTAACAAATGCCTAGACAATTCATAATTCCTTTTTCAGATAACAGCTGAACATGACTTACATTCTTTTTACGACCAACTTATTTTTCGTCACGTTTTCTGCTAATTGCCTAGTATATCAATTTGTTTCTTATGCGCGATATTGTTTACTTTACTTGTTTAATAGTCATTTAAGTGTGTTAATTATATACGTATATGTAAATTTGCGTTTAAATGCATCAACATGTCAGTAAAAACCTAAAAACATTAAATTTTCACGTAAAATGACCCCCAAAAAATCCCCGAAAAAGAAAATGATGGGGAAAACAAGACATTTAAAAGTTTATTCTTTAATAATTTTGGGTTTTAAAATTCCGGAATAGAAAACAGGGAAATTTTAAAAAACTCCCGGGGTCAAAAATTTAAAAGATTTAAATTTCCCTTTAAAAAATGCCAAATAAAATCTTTGCTTATTCATGACATTTAACAAAAATCACAACACAAAACTATTTAAGCCAAAATGAAGTTGTTTGCTTTCACATTTCATGTCAGGTTTACTTCTTAAACATTTGTTTTGAAAAGAAATAATTTAGTACAACATTGTTTGATCGATGGCCTTGAATAACATATACCCCTGCCCATGCTCTGCCTTGTGCCCTGACCTGGTTTTGTTTGAGGACCTCCTGGGCTCCTTGCCACTGGCTCTTGTTGCTAGATCGTGTGGGGGTTGCGTTCATTGAACGCCGCCTTTCCTTGTTGATCATGTATATCATATTTTAATATCCCAAAACAATGGCCCTCTCGAATGGGAAATCATTCAAGTAATAAATAATTTCGATTCTATACTTAACAAAAATGATTTTTTATCAATCATATCGACAGGTTTGACACTAGAGCTCAAGTTATAATGTCGTTGTTTATTACATTTAAAACAATTGTTCAACGATTTTATTGGCGTATCCGCCGTCTTTACACAATAATGTGATAATAACCATCATCACGTGAGTTGTTGAACAAACTCCTCACAGTGATTACCTCCCTTGGCAGAATTGTAATCACTGCCTTCAAAGACGTCACATGATGATGAAAGTCACATGACGTAACGTCGAAATTCAAATGTAAATATCGACCGTTACAAAGAAAATCTAACGTCATTTTTCTCTTTCTGTTTTATTTTTAACTTTTAGTGCCTACGATCGATATAGTTTATCAAAAAATTATCAAAAGTATACAAATAACGAAAAATAAATTCAAAAGCTAAAAAATATAAAATATCAAAATATTGTCTCGGTAGAAAATATTCTCATATATTTTTTTAAAATTATTTCTAAATATTCATATTATTTATTTATTTATCCATTAACATTGTTTAATCAATGAGAAAAAACTTAACTGATAGATAAAAGCAGTAAATTTAACAATTTTTGAAAAAATATAATATATCAGAAATTCTGATATATTGGGACCTTGGTGGCAGAGATCTACGCCGAAGAATTAAGGGGAGATCACTGTGTGGAGATTGGTTGTTGAAGACAGGGGTTACTGGCCGTAGCGTAACCGGTGCGCGGAGTTTGAAAAATTATCTTTAAGGATAAAAGATAAAATAAAACAAAGTAATATTTCATAAAAGGATCATAAATATTGAAACTGTTCTTTATTAAAGCATGTTTATAGAAACAAAACAGAAAAAGAAATATTATATAAATATTATAAAAAGGACCAAATGTACATTAGTCTATGTTGAAATAATTATATGTTGCATGAAGTATAAGTGAAGTTAAGAAGGTAAAGAGTTTTCTTAGAAATCATAGTCAATATGCTAAAGTGTACATTCATGGTGACCAGAGTAAAGAGGAAAGAACACATGCAAACAACCTTTAAAAAAATCATTGATAGTATGAAAAGTGGCAAAATCTTGAAATACGTGGTTCTAGAGTCACTGTGAAATCTCATCGTGATAGTGTGAGGGATATTGACAGAAACAGCCATGATAGGAATGGTGAAAGTGAACGAAACAACAGATACAATGAAAAAACATATTATAATAAAAGAAATGAAAGAGGTAGCCATAACAATCGTCAGAACAACGGACATGATAATAACAAAAGGCATTCTTTTAAAAGACAACAAAACTCATACAGGGAAGCTAATGGCAATGACTGCAGACAAGCACAAGGACATAGTAGGAAACACTAGGAGTAAGCATGCAGCTTTTGGAATATTAGAGACTGGAACATTAATAAAGCATCAGCTAGTTATAAATTAAGAGAAACTTGTATAAATTTCTGTAATTGTGATATCATTGGCGTGGCTGAGACTCATTTAAAAATAATGAAAACATAATTATGTATTGATGGCTATACTAGTAATTGGTTTGGTCAGAATAGAACAAAATCTTCATAAGAAATGTAAAACCGGCTCAGGTGGGATTGGCTTTCTTATAAAGAATTCCATTGTAACAGATTTTAATTGTGAAATTTTAGATAATGATTTTGAGGGAATTTTATGGTTGACATTAGAATGTAAACTAGAATTGTGTCCATAGGACACGGGTGCCCCCACCGCGCCACCGTTCTGTCAATCTTTTTACTAGTCAAGGGAAATAACTCTACAAATACTGGATAAATCCACAAGCGAAACCCCAGGTGCAAATCTAAATATGCTGAGCAACCTGCCTATAAGGTTTAATGACTCTATGTCAGATCCTTTTTGAGTAACTTGCGACACAAGTTGAAAATTGCAAACATTTTCTAAGTCGAGGGCAATAACTTTAAAAATACTAAATAAATCCAGACGAAAATACCTGGTGCACAACTGCACTTGCTGAGCAATATTCCTGTGAAGTTTCATGACTCTAGGTCAAATACTTTTTGAGTTACATGCGACACAAGTTGAAAATTGCAAAATTTTACTAATTTACTAAGTCAAGGGCAATAACTCTGAAAATACTAAAAATACCCAGACGAAAATATCCAGGTGCACAACTAAACATGCTGATAAACATTTCTGTAAAGTTTTATGACTCTAGGTCAAATACTTTTTGAGTTACATGCGACACAAGTTGAAAATTGCAAAATTTTACTAAGTCAAGGGCAATAACTCTGAAAATACTAACAAAAATGCAGACGAAAAAAACCCAGGTGCACAACTACACATGCTGATCAACATTCCAGTAAAATTTCATGACTCTAGGTCAAATACTTTTTGAGTTACATGCAACACAAGTTGAAAATTGCAAAATTTTACTAAGTCAAGGGCAATAACTCTGAAAATACTAACAAAAATGCAGACGAAAAAACCCAGGTGCACAACTTGATCAACATTCCAGTAAAGTTTCATGACTCTAGGTCAAATACTTTTTGAGTTACATGCAACACAAGTTGAAAATTGCAAAATTTTACTAAGTCAAGGGCAATAACTCTGAAAATACTAAATATATATACACATGAAAATACCTGGTGCACAACTACACATGCTGATCAACATTCCTGTAAAGTTTCATGACTCTAGGTCAAATACTTTTTGAGTTACATGCGACACAAGTTGAAAAATTGCAAAATTTTACTAAGTCAAGGGCAATAACTCTGAAAATACTAAATATATATAGATATCGAAAATACCTGGTGCACAACTACACATGTTGATCAACATTCCTGTAAAGTTTTCATGACTCTAGGTCAAAAACTTTTTGAGTTACATGCCGGACACAAAGTTGAAAATTGCAAAATTTTACTAAGTCAAAGGGCAATAACTCTGAAAATACTAAAAATATCCAGACGAAAATACCCAGGTGCACAACTACACATGTTGATCAACATTCCTGTAAAGTTTCATGACTCTAGGTCAAATACTTTTTGAGTTACATGCGACACAGGTTGAAAATTGCAAATTTTTACTAAGTCAAGGGCAACAACTCTAAAAATACTAATTCATCCAGACGAAAATACCAAGGTGCACAACTACACATGCTGATCAACATTCCTGTAAAGTTTCATGACTCTAGGTCAAATACTTTTTGAGTTACATGCGACACAAATGTGAACGGACGGACGGACGGAAGGACGGACGGACGGACAAGGGTAAATCTATATTGCCCGCCACTAAAGTGGGGGCACAAAAAGAATGTTACGGTTAAGATAGGTATATACATGTATGTTTGTTGTTTACCTCCCCAAAATTCTGCAAGGCAAATTGATGTGTATGATTTTTATGAAAATATAATGTGTCAAGTACACACTTATCAGCGTGATATGTCTCTCATGTATATTTGTGGGTATTTTAACAGTCGTTGTTCAGATAACCTTGACTATATACCAGGGATTGATGATATCCAAGAACGAGATGTTTTAGATTTTACTCTTAACAGTTATGGTAATGTTTTAACTGATTGTTTAGTTGATATAAATTATTGCATTTTAAATTTAAGAAATTCAATTAAAAATGATTTTATATTTATTGGTCCACAAGGAGCATCATGTGTAGATTTTTGTCTAATCCCATATGAAAATTTGAATAAGTTTAATAATTTTGAAGTTATTAAAACAACAGATTTAATGTCTGACACCGGAATTGTCTCTAACATTAGTTCGAACATTGTAAAACCTGATCATTCATTTTTTTGGTGGAAACTGTCATTAAACATTAGTAAAGAATCATATGATGATGTTTGTATGGATGGAAACATTACATTAAATAAAATTATCAATGATGATTTTTTTTATCAGGAAATGTTGTTGTACAAAAGTTAAATGAAGTGGTTATTTCTTGAGACGGTGTGAATAATTCTCAAACAAAACTTGATTTAGCGTATGAAAATCTAGTTGAAATATTTAATACATAAATGACAGAGAAGTTACAACATAAATGTGTTAAATTCAACACATTCAGGCGCACAAATAAAAAATAACGAACCAGTAAACCGTGATGGACTAATGAATTGTCTGTTTTGTGGTCTGATATGAGTAAATCTGAAAAATCGTGGTTGAAATCTACTTCACATGAAAAGAAAAAAAATCAACAACAATATGTTGAAAAGAGAAGGCTTTTTGACCGTTGTGTCCAACCGACTAAGAGAAGCTAGTATGTATCTCAGGCCCAAAATAACATTGATGATCTTATTGATAAGAACCCAAATGATTTTTGGAAAGAAATTGGAAAGATAGAAATTGGAAATGAAAGAATGAATAAGAGACCTTTTGAAGTAGTAAGGCTTGATGGTTCCATTAACAAAAATGCCAGTCAAGTTTTAGATAAATGGGCACATGACTATTCTGGTCTCTTGAACACAAATAATGAAAATTACTCCTCGTTTGTAATGCCATTTATAGATGCCAATATCAATGGGATGGATATTGATGACGAAAATATATCAATTGCGGAAACTTATCAAGCAATTTTACGAGCTAAATCGGGTAAATCGCCAGGTTTTGACAATATACCTGCAGAACTTTTAAAAAATAATTCGGCCCTTTATACGCTTGTAAACGTTTTCAATTACTGTTATAAAGACAGGAAATGTACCATCTGCCTGGTCCAAAGGAATTATAACACCAGTTTCAAAAATCATCAACATCTGACCCTAGAGACCCTCTATCATACAGAGGTATCACTTTTGCTCCTTCCATTTATAAAATTTACTGCAGTGTATTAAATGGACGTATCAATAAATGGTGTATTTTAAATGAAATTCTTCATGATGAGCAGAATGGGTTTATAAAAGGTAAAAGGACAATTGACCATGTACAAACATTGACCAATATTATAGAAACAAGAAAACGTTTTTAAAAAAAGTACATTTACAGAAAAGCATATGATTTTATCTCAAGACCTTTGTTGTGGACGAAAATAGAAAAATGTGGACTACAAGGCAAACTTTTTCATGCGGTTATGTCGCAGATGTAAAATGTTGCGTAAGACTAAATGGTTTTGATTATCGTTGGTTTGAAGTCAAATGTGGTCTTAAACAAGGCTGTCCTTTGTCGCGAATTTTATTTAATTTTTATATCAATGACTTAGTTACGGTTATATAGGAGCTAAATTCAATGATGATTTCATCAGTATTTTACTATATGCAGACGATGTTGTGCTTATTGCTGAATCTGATAGGGATTTACAAAGTTTGCTTGACATTCTCAGTGTCTGGTGTATTTATAATAAAATGAGTGTTAACGGTGATAAGTCAAATGTAGTTCATTTTAATACAAATAGTTGTGTCTGAACAAATCATGTTTATAGTATAGGTTCGACAATGATACCTGTTGCACATACGAGTAGTTATAAGTATCTTGGCGTTATTTTTTTTTTTTTTGAATTTTGCTGAATGTAGCTCTCTCTGCAGGAAGAGCACTTGGTCTTATTATTTCCAAATGTAAAACTTTTGGTGACTTTCAGTTCTCTACCTTTACAAAACTTTATGATTCCATTGTCAGGCCTGTTATTAGCTATCCAGCCCCGATATGGGGAGATAAGTCATACTCGTGTATAAATGCTATCCATAAATGCTATCCATAATAGGGCAATGTGTTATTTTAGGGGTAGGTAAAGACACCCCAAATTCAGCAGTCCAAGGTGAGATGGGCTGGAAGCCACTGATAGTTCAGCAATGGGACGCTGTTATAAGACAACACTGTAGACTGTTAAATATGCATGACTCAAGATTGAATAAAAAAAGTCTTTAATTGATCAAGATCAGTAGCTAGTATTAAGTGTAAGAATAGTATTTTTCGAATTACGGCATTGTTACAGAGTACTGATTTTAAAGACCACATTTATTTTAATACAAATCAAGTGAATACTAAAGCAATTGTAACAAATATTGAGGAAAAAAAATTGATGTAGAAGTTAATAAATGAAAACAATCATTAGAGCGTGTGTCATCAATATCAGGAAATGGTAGAAATAAGCTAAGAACATATAGAATGTTCAAGAATGTTTTTGAAGCTGAAACTTATGTAAAACAACATTTACCTTTTCATTATCGAAGAGCTATGGCATTATTTAGATGCTGTATTGCACCGATAAGATTGGAAACGGGGAGGTATGAAAATCTGTCAATACATGAAAGAACTTGTTTTAACTGTGATGAGATACATGTTATGTTACACTGTCCACTCTATACACAATTCAGGGAAGACCTTTTTGAATCTGCCAGAACAATTGTTAATAATTTGACAAATTATCTGATGTGGAAAAAATGCGTAACGTTTTTGTTAATCCATGTATGACTAAGTTTACAGCCAAAGCCTGCTTTTAAAACATAGACATTTTTTATTTTACTGTAGGTAACTATTCTTTTATATGTAGATATTTTAAGACAGAGAATGTTGTGAATCTTACAGATGGAATTTATTTTTATGGTTTAGGAATAATGTTTTTATTAGTTTTTTTTTCTGTTTTTTTTTTTTCTTTTTTTTTTTTTTTTTTTTTTTTATTTATTAGAGTATATATTTCTTATCATTACACACATGTTGTGTGACAAGGTTCATAACTCTAGTGTGTCTATTTTTCAGAATTATTCCCCTTTGTCTTCGAATTAATGTTAAAAATGTTATTTTTTTACTATAACTGAATACATAATTATACATAATTGATTTTTCTTTCATAGTTTTGTCTTTCATACTGCTTCCAGTATTTTATTAGTCGAGCTTCGCTGTCTCCTGTGACAGCTCTTGTTATATTCATTGTTACATAGGCATCAATAACGAATATGCATACTATTCATATAAGAGTGAAATATGGCTGACACATTAATTATAGTCAGCCATATTTGCTCTATCGGTAGCTACAGATATATACATGTTTCTGTTTAATAAAGGTAATGAGAATTTAACCAATCAATAGACAATAAATTCGTATTGATTATCGTGATGTCTTAACTATTGCCCACCTAATCAGTCAGTAAATTTTCTGTCTAAAGAAGTCTCTTACTACACTTTGGGGTCAACTGAGTTCGGGTTTTCCAATACTAGACAAAAAAAGATAATATTTACTGCAAAATAACGTGTAAAAGAGCTACAACTCGTTGTACAAATCACATAGTATAAAATACATGCTTAGGTAAACACTATATATATCTACACACATTTATCAATGCACAATTGTACTCAGTATGATATGTTAAGAATTAATACAATTACTTCTTTGAAACAAAATTAACAACAACAAACAAATTTCGTTAAATTCAAATCACACTCAACAAATCACATCACTTTACTGCTTTTATTCAAAACAAATAATACGGTTAATATTAATTAAAATTTAAAATTTATATTCATATTGTGTCGGGCAGGTTTAAGATATCTATTTTTATTTTTTAGAAAAAAAAAGTATTTTTAGTAAGAAAAAAAATTGTTTCATAAAAGAAATGCGTTCTTCTCTCGCTTGGATATGTAGCACACTAAATAAATTATTATACAATTTTAAATTAGATCTGTAAAATAAAAATGCGTTGTTTATTATCCGCGTACACATTCCTAATACACATTACAAAGCTGTTTTGTAAAACAGAACAGAACATATAATTTATTTTGAATTAAGCATATTCAGCTCATCTTCATATACAACAAATATATACATGCATGAATATGATAATGGTAAACGCATATCAGTAATTGAAATAAACTAGTGAGAGTGTAATACAACACATATATTATATACAATCCTCATGTTACTTTAAGCAATACAAACAAGTGGCCTTAATTATCATTACCCGGCATTTAATGAATAAACGTTTTTTTTTTTACAATATATAGCTAGTTTTGTTAACACTGACTTCCTTTCTGAATTTAGCAATTCTAAAAATTTAAACATACTAGGGTTTCTTGCAAAATAGTTGAATATACACTGTTTCCTAAGAGAATCATACAAAGAGCAAATCAGTACAAAGTGATATTCATCTTCGATGTCATTATTGTTGCAAAAAGTAGATTTTCGGTTATAGATGGGTATACAAATATTTGCGGGTTTGCGGTGCTGAGTGTCATTCAGATTTCGTATTTTTAAAATGTTAGATAATGTTGTCACATGTCATGCGATATACGAAAATGTGGTCTTTGTAGATTTCACTTACATTACATCATTTATAAGATTTAGAATCTGATTCAAAATGAGTCAAAATGAAACGATCATGTCTATCAAATAATATTATAAATTATAAAAGCACAGTGCAGTTTTTGTCAATGTCTACATTTCCTCATATCTTGGTCTAGACAACAAGTTAAGCATAAATAAAAAAAAAATTTCCAGTTCACGGAAATATGATTAAAAAAAGATAATCGAGAAACTCATTTAACATTATTTAAAATGGTCAGATTATTTAAGACACAAATGTTTGCTACAAGAAATATTTCCTTCTCCGTGTCAACAGCTGTCAAAAGAAACATACTAAGCCCGTGAAAGATTTTATTAAAACCAAAAACTTTGTTAGAGCCTTCCTCCCGCAGTAAGTTTTCCGGTTCATACTGGCAACGATAAAAGATTATTATAAGTTGTCAACGAAATATCAAGAATGTGATTTTTAACATACTATTTTAAACATATTCACAACATATAACGCCTCTTACGTGGGTGAATTTAACAGCAATACAGAACGCCCTGAACATGAATGAAGTGGATTTTTTTTCTTCTTTTTTTTCTTTTCTCTTTAAAAAAAAATCAAAAAAAAAATCGCTGTTACAAATCCATCAAATGTCAGATTAATGTTAGTGAAAAACAACTTAAAAATAGAAAATAACTTCACGCTTGATCACATCTTACGTTACGATAAAGGTGTGTTGCGTAGATATATAATGCATCGGGAGCGTTAACGTTGTTTTACGTATCATATTAACATCCGCAAGTACAACTGAATCTCCGTTAACGGTTCGTCAGTAATGTTTAACTGGTATTTCTGAACTGTCATTGATGAATATATAATACAAGGTAAAATAAAGCAAACATACGTGAAAAAAGAATGACATGGTTTCATTCCACGAATAAGGATTGTATTTTTTATATATAAATCTACAATTGTAGCGAACAATTTAAAGAAGTTTACTGACTCTAAACAAAATGAAACCCTTTATTATGCGAGTTTTATTACATTTCGGACTTTTATTTACAAGTACATTTGCGGCAAGCCTGTATTCCAGTATTTATAGTGATTTAAAAAGGCATGCTCATATAAGAGTAGCTCGAGAAACACGTGCAAAAACGGATTGTGCTGAACCTTGCTCACTGGGAAAACTTTTCTGTATGAATGGATCGTGTGTTCCGGTAAATTGCAGCTTCAAGTGTGAATGCCAAACAGGATATGACGGATGGTTTTGTGAACGAAAGGTACCGACAGTTGCGGAGGAATTTCAAGTTTTATCAGCAAGTACTGTTGTGACCAAAGGCCTCTCTTTTGAACAAACTAAGAGAACCATATCTTCAATAAATACTCTCGAAGATATAACGTCATCGAGAAATATTAATGTGATCTCATCATCATCAACAACATCATCATCATCATCATCGTCATCATCAGTACCTCCTTTAACACAATCATCAACAACGATATCATTATCAACACCATTGCCTGTGTCGGATCATACACATTTTGCAAATACTACTCCTGCATAAACAAAATATTTTATTGACAAATACCTTGTAAAGGTTTAAACTGAAACGAAAGTTATGTTTATTGGAATATAAATTTCCCAGGGAATATAAGAGCAGCTTTAAAATTGCAAAGATAAAATAAACAGAAGATAACATCATTGAGAAAGAAGTAAAGATTCTGGTTTTATTAAAGTGTTTTATGTCAACAAGAAACAATTTCGATCGACAGTTTGTCACTTACAAATTGCATATAACAAAAAGGAGATAAAAAAGCAGTAAGAAACTTGTATATGTGTAATGTTTTGATCTGTACATTTTTAGAAGTGTTGAACACATTGTTTAAATTGTACATATATTTGAAATCCATGCAAAAGATGTTTTAGTATGTGTGTTGAATATAGCTTTGAGTGTTTCTTTTTTTTCCCAATGTAACTGTTGGAGATGTGTCCCACATTTGATACTAAATTTTGTGCTATATGTTAATACATATAATTACTTTTTTGTTATGATGTACAGCGCTGCCAAATTTTATCAGTCACCTATTGCTTTAAAGTATTTTTATTTATTTATATGTTGCTTTAAATTGATGACATCCGTTTTATGTGTAGAATTTTCCGGTTTACTTACTTAATGTTTCACTGTATAGTTGGACATGATTTTAGTAATATCTGTTGTGTTCATATGTATGTTTTATTATTATTATTATTATTTCATTAAAGTCTCAGAGACGTAGTGAAAATCCATAACAATTTGACAGATAAAGTTACCTATCATAACGAAATATTCTCTATTTCATTCTTAGCATGCATTATATCCCAAAATTAAAAGGTTCTTTACGAGCCATAATATAAATGTATCCAATGCATTTAAGATATTTATCATAGCTTTTTCATGTCGCTTTTATCATTATGGCATATGACAAGTAGTTATTACGTGATTTCATTTACTTAGATTTATATGTCATTTGTTAAGCTATTTATTTATTTATTTACACTGGAAATCCATGGTTGGTATAGATTAATAAAAGATATTAAAAACATGTATGTTCGTTATTTTTCATTTATGATATCTTGACGGAGGGTTGCATTAGGAGGACATAGGAAATCTTTTATTTACTACGTGCGCACGCGATAGCTATTACTTGGCCTCGCGATAGATCTTATGTGCGCACGTGACAGCTTGGTTAGCCACGTAATACCTATCCCGTGTCCACGGAATTGCTGTTGCGTGGGCACATGATAGTTATCGCATTGTCATGAAATACTATCTCGTGTGAACGTAATATCTAGCATCCACATGTAGAAAATAAAATATTTCTTATGTCCCTTTATGCCACGTGTTCGATGTGTTATATACACTGTAAATGCTGATTTTATTATTTAATATGTGATTTAGATATGGTATGCGGAATCATTTGTAATTCTCTTATTGACGAAAACCAACATACAAAGTATAGTCTCCCAGAAAATATAACAAAAATACCGATATAATCTGCATATATTCTCATAATGATTTCAGATCGAGAAATTTAAATTAAGGGATACATTTTACTATGATGATGAACAATCTTGTTATCTTTCTCTGACTGAAAGTAAATAAATTTCAAAATATAACATACGTTAAAGCATAATGATTAAAAACAAACATACATATTACTTAAAGGCATACGTTAAACTTACAAAATTGTTCCAGTCCATGTTAAATATTGAATTCTGCTTAACCCTTTACCACATATATACGCGAAACAACGCACTTTCGACCCCCCCCCCCCTTTTTAAGGCCTCAAATAGTGAAAAAATGTCCTATTTTGGACCCCAAACATAAAGTTTTTCGTTTGAGAAATGTTGCTTAAAAATTGAAGCACTTTTTCGGCGCCGCCCTCCATCCAAAAGATACATCAGGGGGTTGCCAGAAGGGGATGTGCCCCTTCTGATAGGGGGGTTTTGAAGGGGGCGGAGTCCCCCTCATCGCCAAGAAAATTTGGACTTGTGAGAGGGTAAAAATGACCCCAGGTCGATCATAATGTAACGTTTAACCAACGCTGAAAAGCCTTTGACTCTATCTCAATCCCTTGAACAGTTGCAGCACTTTGAAATAAATTTTGATGGAAAAAATCGAGGCAAAATAGTGATTTTGGCAATTTTGAGATGTCCCCTCGTTGCCATGGTAACAGGAAATTAAAGACTGAGCATGTAGTTACGAAGGCAATGGTCCAGTCAACATTTGTGCCAAGTTTGATTAGTATTGAAGCATTTTTCATAGTTTCATAGCAGTTTGAACTTGTAACAGGAGGCTTTTCAGTGAAAACGGCCATTTTTCACAATATGCTCATGGGGGAAAGGGTTAAGCGGTGCTAGGGGCGTGGACGGTAACTTGCACTTTTCCATTACCGTCCATGAACAGGCTCAATCAAACCGAGCCTGCAACATTTTCAATTGAGTCTTGTTTGGCTTTCTTTAGGGATTCTTTATTTTTCTCTATTTTACAAATTCTATAGAGACGCTTAATTATATATATATATACCGAGAAAATTCAATAGTGTATCAATGGAATATGGAAATATTTTCCTTTTGAATAAATCTTTTAACAATAAGTTTATATGGAACTTAAAGTAATTAAGGTAAATGAAATTTACCTATATTTTGTTTTTGCTTCCGTGGCAAAAGACGTAAAAACAGGTATTTCATGTAAAGCATGGAATATATTATGTAATTGTAAAAAACATTTGTTTTCTGTTTTGCAAATATATTAGTTTACAGTTATATAATTCAACTATATTATGAAAGAAATGTGTGGCTTATTTAAACTCCTCGCCTTCCTAGAATTTACCAGTACTGCTGTCATATGAGGAATTATAGTCATACCTTAGAACGGCTTCAACTCATAATCCCTTGACGGCCTATGAAATAAGCCACATTTATCCGAAAGACCATTACAAATTCCATTTACAGGGGAATAATAAGTTAAATGTGCCGTTTTCTTACCCTTTTCCCTTTTCTTTTGCGTGAGTATTTTTGTTTTTGTATTTCATACAATATTTAAGATTTTATACGAGTAGACTCGGCTTAACCTTTTACCTCATATATACGCTAAACAACGCACTTTTGACCCCCACCCCCTCTTTAAGGCCTCAAATTTTGAAAAAATGTCCTGTTTGGGCCCCAAAGACATGTTTTCGTTTGAGAAATGTTGTGAAAAAAGTGACCACTTTTTCGGCGCGGCCCCCAACCAAAAGAAAAATTTTGGACTTGTGAGGGGCTAAAAGTGACCCTAGATCGATTATAAGGTAACGTGTAACAAACGCTGAAAAGTATTTGACTCTATCAATCCATTGAGAAGTTGCAGCAGTTTGAAATCAATTTTGATGGAAAAAATCAACGCAAAATTTTGGCGATTTTGAGATATCCCCTCGTTGCCATGGTAACAGGAAATTTAAGCCTGAGCATGTTGTTATAAAGACAATGGTCCAGTCAACATTTGTGTCAAGTTTGATTAGTACTAAAACAGTTTTTTTATAGTTTCGTTTTAGATCAGTAAAAATATACGGCACCTTGTTATCGGGCCGAAATTAATGCAAGTGACAGGATAAAATGTGAAATGTAGCTAAAGACTGCAAACCTCAAAAGAAATCTTGAAACTAATCTGAGTGCGCATACGCATACAAGGGTTGTTAGCCATATAACAAAAAGGTTACACGTTGGAATGCATAGCATTAACATTGTTTCCTTATAAGGGCATACAACTAAAACCATACATAGTCAATTCCGTTTGACTCATCAAACCTCTAGAATTAGCATTTCCGTACAAATACGTATATAACAAAGGCGGGCGAATTTGTAAATTTGGTAGACCGCATTTACAAATCATGCCAATAAATATGGGTGTAAAAGGTCGTTAAAGTCAGATATTACCGAACATATTACCATCAAAATTTTAAATCATCGCCTGTATTTTACATATGCATCTCCTGTAGGCGTTCATAATTATTTTTAAGTTGAAAGATATGGCTTATTGTGATTTACATACGAGCCGTGTCATGACAAAACCAACATATTGGGTTTGCGACCAGCATGGATCTAGACCAGCCTGCGCCTCCGCTGGCCTGGATCCATGCTGGTCGCAAACCCATTATGTTAGTTTTGTCATGGCGCGGCTCATATTGTAATGTGTCGAGGAAATGGTCAAATAGACTCTAGAGATAACGAAAAAGATATATAAATGTTAATGATAAGATATAAAAACGACCTCAGTTTTAAAAAGATTACCCCGCTATTTTCTAGAATTGCACGTTCCCAATACATTTTAACAATATTTATAGAAATTTCCGTTGATTACATTTAGTTTTTATTATTATAACTACAGTAAAATAAAAATCTAATACAATTATGACAACATGTCATGTTATTTTAATTTTTACTTGTTTTCACTGACCTCTTACTCTCGTTAACATCTGTCAGTTTTGGGCTATCGCATCTCTTACTATGACTGTTAGAAGAAGAATTATTATTGTTAATCATGAAATACACTGACTAATGCATGGTATATTATTTCATTTTAAAGAGATGAATAATATTATATTAAATGGCAAGAAATATATTAAAGTTACAAGTTTATTCATAATGACGCCTGTTAAACATAACTAATAGCATCATGGATAGCAGAGATGTCTTGTTTTCTATTTATTTACACGTTTTATTTACTTGCATCATATGAGACATTTCGTATCATTATTTATATTTAATAGTTTTGTTTACATACGCATTAATATCAAAATTTCTCTTAATTGCGATAACGTGATTTAGTTTAACTACACTTGGGAGTAAATAAAACGAAATATATTTGATACTAATTTCATAAACCATTTTCTGTTATTAAGTTGTTGCCCATTGTAAACATATCGACTGTTCAGTTCTAAAAGCAAATCATTTTCTTTACATTATTGTTACAAACCAAATTTTTTTTCGATCGAGTACAGAAATTATTAACTGTCATTGATGTAACCTAATTGATAAGGCCAATAT